GTATTCTCCTTCTTTCCTTTACACTTGAGGTTTTGCTCTGTGTACTCAAAATCCTACCTATATTTTCTCTCCTATGTACTCAAGGGTTTGCTCTGTGTACTGAAAATCTTTCTAGACAACCTCTTCCGGCCTTAACCCCTCAGTTCTTTACATACAGGTCTAGACAATGTCCCATATGTAAGATCAAGCATCTCTACTTCAACTTTAGTTAACATGGGGCTGGGATTATTTTCCCAACTTATTTTGTTAATCACATTTCTGCTTTACTTCAGTGACCAGCAAACTTCCCTGAGCATTATTCATAAAGCACACTTCCTCTGAAATTGAATAGCAGCCTTGTTAAATAGAAATATACAAGACACAGATGGAAGCCCATACCTAATTTTAAAATTTTAGCAAACACATTATAAATGTAAAAAGGCCAGCAGGTGGCATTGTGCTTAAGGCACTGGACTCTCATAGGCCTTAGTTCAAGTGCTGGACCTGGCAGCTTAGAAATCATGCTGGGTGAATGTGCATGCGTGTCCAAAATCCTGAGAGGAGAATGGAGGAGAGGGGATTGCAGCATGGCCATCTACCCCAGGAGGTGATTTCTCACTTTCTCTCTCTCTCTGGTAAGTGCATACACTCTGTGGCCAGAAAGAAAAAAAAAAAGATGAAATTAATTTTAGATTTTTAGTTTATCCAATATATCAAAAATATCATTATAACTTGCTATTAAACTTACTAATCAAATTATCTTAAGTTTTTTTTTCACTGTAAGACTTCAAAATCTGCTGTTATTCTGAAATTACAGAATATCTTAATTCACAACCCATCTCCATAACCTAATGGTAAGGAGCCAGATCCCATATGACTGAATGCAGTTCAAATCCTGACCCCGGTGCCTTGAAAAACATGCTGGGCATATGTGCATGCATGGGCCCCAAATCCTGACAGGATAAAGAAGTGAAGGAAAAGGGATTGTGGTGTAACTATGCCTCATGGAGGGGCATGCTTTCTCCCTCTCTCTCTCTGTCTCTCTGTCTCTCTCTAGCAATTTAAAAAAATAAAAACAAAAACAAAAAATTCCTTAATTCAGAGTAGTCATATTTCAAATGCTTAGTAGCTCTATGTAGCTTGTGGGTGGCATAACGAACAACACAGTTTTATTAAATTGTTAATAACTTTTTAAATTTGTTTGATACTTGACATATGCTGATGTCATAATTAGATGACTAGAATCTAGATCATCATTTCCTAGGGTATGAGAACAGCCAGTGTTCAAATACAAGATCTCGATGTTGGGGCAGAAATGACCTGATAGAAAACAAGTACAATGGGGACCAGCAGTTGGCATAATGGCTACATCACTGGACTCCCATGTAGTTGACTGTGGTTTAAGTTCTGGACCCGGTGGCTTAAACTCACAATGGGCACATGTGCGTGCATGCCCAAGATCCTGAGAGGAGAAAGGAGGAGAAGGGACTGTGGTGTGACCATATTCCCAGGGGGTGACTTCTTGCTTTCTGTGTCTCTGGTAAACGCACGTACCCTATAGAGAAAATCTCTCAAAAAAAAAAAAAAAAGAAAAGAAAAAAGCATCATGGTGAGGCTGTCAGAATACTCTGTGATAAGGCTTAGACTAGAAATAGGTTAGTATGCCAGTGCTGGCTTGGCCCGTGGTCCCAACACCTTTTTATATGGCTTAGATTGCCTCTGTTAAGTTGCACCCAAAAAAGAAAGTAAGGCACTAGCCAAGCAATTTTTAAAAATTAATAATTATAATAAAAATGTGGGCATGAGTTTCAAGCCACCAGGTCTGGGTCTTGAACCTTGGTTGGGCATATGGGAGTTCAGAAACATAACTGCTATGCCATCTGCTGGTTCCTCATTCCTTTTAATGACTGAATAGTATTCCATAGCACATTTGCTCTATCAGATAGTCTGTTGATGAATACTTAGGCTGATTCTGTATCTTAGGTATTTTGGACATGGCTGTAATAAACCTAAGGAGAGCAGATAATCTCTTCAAAATATGACTTCCTTTTCTTTGGATATATACCAAGCTAGAAGAGAAGATCTTTAAAAAAAGATTTTATTTACTTATTTATATTATTGAAAGAGAGAGAGTTTTGTGGGTTTTTTTTGGGGGGGGAGGAATTTTTTTTCTATAGGGTATGTGCGCTTGCCAGAAAGATAGAGACAGAAAGCAAGAAATCACTCTCCCAGGGGGATGGCCACACCACAATTCCTTCTCCTCTATTCTACTCTTGGAATCTTGGGCATGCACGCACATGTGCCCATTGTGAGTTTAAGCCACCGGGTCCAAGACTCGAACTGCAGTAGACTACATGGGAGTCCAGTGACCTAGCCATGACGCTAACTGCTGGTCCCAAGAGAGAGAGACTCTTAACAGGACCTTGCAACACTATAATCCTCCCTTTGGCCTTCCAGCCAGCCAAAATCACAGGTGCACACAGGGGGATTCAGTGTGTTCAGGTTGACCCAGGATCCAAACTTGGGCTTCCCACATGAACCCGTTATTAGTGGCAGTGCCCTATCACCCGGCTGTCTAGAGAGATCATATTAAATGTTCCCAATACAAAGTAATGATAAATGTTCAAGGTGATAGATAATGCTAGTCACCCTGATTTGATAATTACACATCATATTCATACACCAAAAGTTATGCTGTACCATATAAATATGTATAATTATTGAATCATTTAGAAATAGTAAGTTTTTAAAAGATTGTTTTGGTTATTCAGGAGCTTTGTGTCCACATAAATTTTAGAATTGCTTTTCTATTTCTGTGAAAAATGTCACCGAATTTTGACAGAGATTACATTGAATCTATACAATGCCTTCAGTAGTATGAAGATTTTAGCAATTCTTTCAACCCATTAATCATAGAATATATTTTCACTTATGTTTTCTTCTACTTTTCTTTCATCAATATTTTATAGTTTTCAGTGTACAGATCTTTTACTTCCTTTGTTCAATTTTCCAAAGTACTTTATTCTTTTTGATGCTACAAGGGTACTTTAAAAGTCTGTGGAAAGACAGCATTAAACTATGAATTTATTTTGGTGCAAAAATTTCTTGAAATCCATGGATAGCTTTTTCATAATATGCGTTTGCTGTGAACTCTTCAAAGACCTCTTACATTTTAAATGAGGTTATTTGTTTTCTTTTTTGAATAGATTGTTATTAATATAAATACAATTTATTTTTGTTTGGTTGGTTTTGGTTTTATAAGCTAAAGAGCACATGCAATTGCCAGAGACAGAGAGAGGAGGAAGGAGAGGAAGAAAGCATCTCCCAGTAGGATGCAGTCACTACAATCTCTTCTCTATATCTCCATTCTTCTGGATTTGGGCATCCAAACACATGTGCTCCATGTGTTTTTCAAGCTGTTAGATCCAGGTTTCAAAACGTAGTAGGTGAGGGAACAAGCAGTTAGCGTAATGGCTATGTCACTGGACTCCCACGTAGTCGACCGCGGTTCGTGTCCTGGACCCAGTGGCTTAAAACACGCCGGGCGTGTGTGGGTGCGGCCCCAAGATCCCGAGAGGAGAATGGAGGAGAAGGGATTGCAGCGTGACCATCCCCCCTGGGGGGTGATTTCTCGCTTTCTGTCTCTATGTCTCTCTCTGTCTGTCTGGCGAGCGCACGCGCCCTACAGTGAAAATCTCTCCAAAAAAAAAAAATGTAGTAGGTGATATGGAATCTGGCCATCTTAACTACTAGGCTTTAGGACCAGTCCTTGTAAATAATTTTTGTATGTTGATTTTACAAGGGGTCTCCAACAAGTTCAGAGAAAATGTATATTATGAAGAAAAATTTAAAAAACTATGCATGGATTCCAAAATTGTTTCACACAAAAATAAATTCATTTTCAATTCTATTTTTCCATGAACATTTTGAAGACCCATTATATATCCTGCTACTTTACTTAATTCAATTAGTTTTAGGAGGTTTTTTGGTGGAGTCTTTGGTGTTTTCTACATACAGGATTATGAAGTCTGCAGACAGGAAGAATTGTACTTCTTTGTTTACAATTTGGATAGTTTTTATTTCTTTTCCTTATCTAATTGTTCTTGCTAGTGTTTTCAGCACTGTGTTAAGTAAAAGAGGCAGAAGTGGGCATCTTGCCTTGTACCAGATTCTAGAAGAAAAGTTTCCCATTTTCTTCCACTGATTATATTAGCTGTGGAATTTTCATAAACCACCCGTACTATGTTGAGTAGATTTCCTTCTATATCTATGTTGTAAAGAGAATATTGAACTACATCAAACAAAAAAGCTGTGCACAGCAGATAAGATGATAAACAAAATAGAAAGTCAGCCTAAAGAGTGGGAGAAAATATTTGCAAATCATATATCTGATAAGTGGTTAATATCTAAAATATATATGGAACTCACACAACTTAACAAAAAAAGATGAATTAATATAATTACAAATGAGCAAACCACCTGAGTAGAGTTTTCCAAAGAAGACATAAAAATGTCTAATATGGATGGAAAGGTACCTGACATTATCTGGGAAATACGAATCAAAACTACAATGAGATATCTTCTTACATCTGTTAGAATGATTGTTTTAAAAAAGACAAGAGATAAGAAGTGCTGGTGAGGGTATGAAGAAAATGCAACATTTGTACACTATTGTTGTAAATGTAAACTGAAACAACCATTATGGAAAACACTATGAAATTTTCTCAAAAAAATAGAATCAAAGACCTGCTGGTGGCATGCTGGTTAAGGCAGCTGGATCCCTTATGGCTGACTGAATGATTCAAGTCCTTGAGAAACATGCCATGCAAATGTCTGTACATGTCCAAAATCCCAAAAGGAGGGAGAAATGGAGGAGAAAGGATTGTGGTATGACTGTTCCCCCTTGGAGAAGCCTTCTCCTCTCCTCTCTCTGGCAAGAATATATGCCCTCTAGCAAAACAGATAAATAAAACGTTACGTTGTTCATCTAAAATATATACAATTTAAAAAATGATATGTACCTGTGCCTATAAGGTCATTCCAATGAGTGGCTGTCCCGACCCGCAAGACAGTCGAACAGGTTTCGAACAGGTTTCCTGAGGGAAGGAGTGAGAGACAGGACGAGCAGCGCGGAGATGACGCAGTGTTACAACACGGACGCCGCGCGGAGATGACGCAGTGTTACAACACGGATGCAGCGGATGCAGCGCAGAGATGAGGCAGTGTTGCAACTCTTCAGGGTCGTCCATTTATTGTGGGTCAGAGATTGTGTTTATATACATGTTGGTGGGCGGTGATTGGTTAAATGAAGGATTGTAAAAGGTGGGTTATGATTGGTTGCTTTGTGGACCAATCATGAGGTGCCAGATAGCATGGTTTTGAAGGGGAGATTTTGAAGGGGAGCCAATTGTGGCCTTTGGCGTTGTGTAATTGTTTGCTTGCTGAGAAATCGAAACTTAAAGGTTTCCTTAAAATGGCGATAGTATAAGACTCATAAAATGGCCTCGGCAGACTCGCAGATGTGCAGTTTCCCAAAAGCGGCCACACCACAAATTTAAAAATGAAGATTTAAGAAAGCCTCTAGGTCCTATCTTAATGAGTTTTTCAAGGTTTTACTCCAATTTCATAATCTTTGGGAGATAGGAGAGAGCTAAAAACTTCTGCATTTTCTTACCAGAGTAAGGTTTCATGAGAACAACTGAGGAAGAATGAAGTCAGTCCCATGTGATTCAGGTTTGAGAAGTCAGAAGCACTATAATGTCATGTTTAATTACGACCAGTTCCTCCATTGTTTCGATGTGAAGCATAAAAAAAGTAACTGAAGGAAAGCTAGTTCTATAGCCCGGAATTCTACCTATCAAATAGGATCAGGAAGCCTCAGAATAGAACAAAAGGCAAATAAAGTAGCTATCTCAAAGTTTTAAATTTTCCTGGCTTCTAATTAATTAAATGTGACAGAAAAATGTCATGACAATGCTGCTGCTAAAGTTATTTATTTTTAAATTGCATCTCTTATACTCCCCAAATCAATGATAAAATTCTAACAACCTCATTGGTGTGATCACAGCAAAAGCAGCTTCTATTTTTGAGTTTCTGCTTCCTATTATTCAGATGCACTTTGGAATTTTTTCCTCCACAGTTTGAATGCTGCCCTGTTACTTAGCCAACCTTGGGTGATTTTTAATTGTGTGTGGCTGTATCTAAGATGGAAAGGGTACCGAGTTTGTTATGAAAACATCATGCCAGCATGGCTCAATGCTTGCTAGTTGCTCTTCTGGATGATTTGAAATTCCTACAGATGTTAGAAACTGAATTAGTGTGGAATCAAAGTCCCTAGTAAAAATCCTCTATTAACCATGCGGAATCAGTGGGACGTGGTAAGTTAATATTGGTTTCCCAACACAATGACTCAATGGAATATTTTGAAGTTATATATCGTATTTCATGTTTAGTTGTATTGTGAGTTTATTCAAAGATTGCGTAATCACTCAATTAGGCTACTATGCTGTGTCCAAAGCTCTGGGACATCGTCCAACACATTTTTTTTCTCTCCCATCAAGATAATTTATTACTACTGTGTTATATAACCTAACAGTTTAAGCGATTATTGAGACAACTTTTTTTCTCCCTGAAACTTAAATTCTACCAAAATTTTAGACAAACAAAAAAATCAACTTTTTCTATAAGCAGGCCAGCTGACAACTTCAATCTATTTATTAATAACTATATTGACAGATGAGCATATATTAAGCACTATGGAGAGGCTGCTACTGATAGTCTTTTCCCTCATCCTTTTTTCTTTTTTTTCAATTCTTCTTTTCTGACAAGACTTCACTTTTTTTTTTGACTTGACAGTAAGCGTTAGAATACACGTTTTCTTAGATGCCTTTGAAGCATGTATTCTATTTTTTAAAAATAATTATTTTATTTAACTTTATTTATTTAAGTTTGACCAGAGAAGTACAGAGTAAGTGAGACAGAAAGAGAGAGAACATAAGCTGCCTGGTCCAGGATTTGAACCATGGTCAGCCATATGAGTCCAGCACCCTTAACCACCATGCCACCTGCTGGCTCCTGAAGCATGTATTCTACATAATAAAATATAGGCTGAAATTCTTGATGAAGTTTCTAGGAAAGCTCTTGTTTTCCTGAATATTAAAAATGCAGAGATTTTAAAAAGAGAGGAGACTACAAGAGACTTTCCTTTTTTTTTTTTTTTTTGCTTGAATCTCAGAAGTGGTGGCTGGCTGTGAAGCAGGCATTCTGCAACAGTGAGATGAACACCTCCTATTACAGGAGGTGGCAGAAAACAAGACAATATGCATTCTTGATGATTCCTTTGGAGCAGTGGTAAACCAGTTTCTGATTTCTGCCTCTCAGATTGTTTGTGAGCCACAAAGAAGAAACCTATGTATGTTGAAGAAAAAATGGTCAGAATCTGCAACACATGGCTGAAAGAAACTCACCTGCTGTGGTACCAGCTCTATGCATCCTGGTGTTGTGTAAGTCCAGGGAGAATGAACCAAGTGGCCCTGTGGCGGCCTGATACTAAGTATGTTGAGGGGGTTCACGGATTAATGAAATAGGCTATCATTATAAAGGCTATCATTTCCATAAAGAGACTTGAGTTTTTTCCCAATTTAATTATATTTTATAATTTCTTAATTTACATTGAATTGTCGTACATCTTTATGCCATAAAATAGTTTTGTTTTTTCCAAAAGCATACATCTAGTGTGTGATAATTAAATCAGGGATAGTATCATCTACATTTTTTCAAAAAAGAACTTCACATTCTTTTTTTTTTAATTATTTTTTAGAGAGAGATGTTTGCAATAGTGTGCATGAGCTCACCAGAGAGACAGAGACAGAAAGCAAGAAATACTACCCACCCACCCACCCCCAGGTGGATGGCCATGCCTCAAGCTCTTCTCTTCCATTCTCCTTTCAGATCTTGGGCATGCATGCACACATGCCAGGAGTGAGTTTTAAGTGACCGGGTCTGAGACTCAATGTTTGATTACGTGGGAGTCCAGCAAGATAACCATTACACCATTGCTGATCCCAGAACTTTAAGTTCTTGCATGTTAAATGCTTTATCCTGAGTCCTTCCCACCTACCCCTCTCTCACACAGTCTTTGGTATCCATACTTGCCCTCCCTACTATCATGTCTTCAAATCTTTCAATTTCTACCATGAAGAACAGATCTTTGATATCTATTGATTGGGGATATACAATGTTTGCCTTTCATAGTCTGGCTAATTTCATTTAACATTAAGTTTTCTATACTCATCCATTGACAGAGTAGATCAATCTAAAGACAAGTGATCACAATATAATGCTACCTGTGAATTAAGTTTCATCAAGGGTGTTCCCTGGGATAGCACTTAAGTAAAAAAATTGTCATTAAGTTTGGGGAAATATCTGTTATTTTCTTGATTCACTAGACATACTAAAGGCTCTGAAGAGTCCTGTAGTAAAGCCCACCCATGATACATTGTAATGAAGTGAGATGGTTGGTAATGTATTCTTCCTCCAAAAGGAGATAAAGTGGACAATCATTTTTACTCATTAGGAAGTATGTAAGAGTAATACTGGGGTATCAATAAGAGGAAGATAAAGTAGTTACATTGGCAAATGTAGCAGAATAGAGAATAAGTTGTTTCATAGGGAATATCTTGGAAATCATGCAGCTGAATCTGAAATTTCAGGTTGTGTGTCCACAGATGGCTACTACTGCCCATTTGAAAGAGCACTCCCTCAGATTTGGAAGGCTTGCCTTTCCAACTCTCAAAAAGTGAGTGGCTAAGAATTTCCCATGCAAGGGTAAGTATCGTCATACCAAAACTTTATGAAGTGACATCGAGTTCTCTTCGTTCAGATACCAATCATGCAGCGACTCTATTAAAATTCCCACACAAAGGCACAGCGATGTTCGTCTCTACATAGAGACCTCATTGTAGTGTAGGAAGAGTGTTAGAGAAAAAGCCCTGGATATGTAAATACAATGAGCACATGGACTTAATGGTCCAACTCTTATATTCTCCATTCCTAGGGTTAATAATTCTCCTCTTGCTTTTTTTCTTCAATGTTAAAAAAAAAAAAAAAAAAGACACAAGAACAAAAACTGGGACCAGCAGGTGACGTGGTAGTCAAGGCGACTCGTTCCACCATGGATGAGTATGTAATTCAAGTCCCAGATTCAACGGCTTGAAAATTATGTCAAACCCGTGTGTGTGCAAGCCCAGGATTCTGAAAGGAGAATGAAGGAGGAGGGACTATGGCATGGTCATCCCCCTGAAGGGCGATTTCTCACTAACTCTGTCTCTTTGAAAAGTACATGTGCCCTATAACAAACTGAAACCAAATAAAAAATAATCAATACTGAAATAATGACAGTATGTGTGTATAACTAAATACACAAAGCTCTAGAGTTGCTTTAAAATCCATTTAAGATTCTAAGAAGGACAATCATAGATTCAAAGTTTGCCAGCAGTAATTAAAAATAAATTTCCTAATCAGCAAAAGGAGACATGTCTCATGGATTCTAAAATAATTCCGACAAGGAAAACTCATATATTTAATTGGTATCAAGAAAATTGTGATGAAAGTGTGGTGGTATGAATAGTATTTGAATTATAATCGTATCTGTTGGAGTCATCTCACTATTACATTCACAAAAATGGTCCTAAAATCATCTAAACCTCAAAAGCTATTCTGTTATTATAGCCTGATCTCTAGACACTTCTCTTTAACAATGCTCTGATAGTTCTCTAGGTAGTTCTCATAGGTTCAGCTGAAATTGAAGTGGAGAATGTGGTTTGAACATGAGAGAAATAAAACCAAGCGGTAAGAGACAATTTGAGGACCAGGACCTTCTACGCTGAGATGACAAAGTTTCTTGAGAGACCATGGAAATTTAAAGAAGGCATGAGAAATTACGTCAGGATCTCAAAGAATCTAGAGACTTATCTACATAAACATACACATAATACATTCAGCTAAGAGATGTAACTACAATATCCTCTTATTTGTTTCAAACTCCTAACTTCAGTTATAAAACATTAGTGTTGAAAAAAAGACAGAGGAGATCATCTAACTGGTTTTTCTCAT